CCCAGCTTATATCCGATGTGATTTCGCATAGTCTGTTTTATTCCTTCCCCCACGAGTAGTGCTGATGTACCTGCTCACACACACACATCTCCGTATCACTTATTTGAGTAAATGAGCATTTCATGAACACAGACAGCTTCTGCAGGAAAGATGAGGACAACAAAATTAACGATTAACAACAATGAAAGAAGAGGTTCTTGAGCTTACCCTGTCGGGTAACTATTGCTCAGGCATATTTACGAACGCAAATACAAAATGCAGCATTAATTACTTTAAAAAGTGTGAGGAATTTCCATGATAGTACCTAGCCCTTTTATGCTTTGATAAGCACTGCCGGCTGACATGCAAACAGTCTGTTAAAATTTTCTTCGAATTAGCTAGTCAGTGCTTTATTAATATTTCCAAACGCATAATTGACTCCAATTTATTTAAGAGAGGTGAAGAGGATATAAGACCAGAGAAGTGAACAAATGACTTGAAATTATAGGCTGTTTTTGCACACCAAGAAATCCCAAGCCACTTAAATAGATTGAGCCAGTGATCGGACGATTCCAGCACTACTTTACAAGCACTGCATTCTACTGTAAACAAAGAGGGAAAAGGTTGTTCAGCTGGTATTTATAAAATGCTAATAAGAAGACATTTTAACGTCTGGCCTACCTTTTACAATTGTCTCACTACGAAATAGCTTCTGAATTATGTTATCGTCCCATAGGGTGAGCAAGTTCTTTACCGCTGCCGGTTCAGTATTCATGTCAGCATGCTGAAGTAAGGCCAGAAGATACCTGTGATCGTCTTTGCAGCAATTAAGGTGTAGGGAGACGCGAATGACTGCAAGAAAACAAATACCACCGCCAAATTTACTCATCAATGCTTCTGTCTACCCTCTACATTCTATTACATTAAACTCACCCCACACGAAAACAAACTCGTTGTCAAAACTTCCGTTGGAAAGATTTTCTGCAGCGTGCGCCTTACATAGGCATTGAGGTGCGCAAAACATTTTGATCTTGGCAATAACACAATAATCAGGATTGCTACGATGTTGATGTAGATAAGACAACAACGGTCCGATTGCCAAAGGCACATCTCTGGGTTTCACAAGAGTGAAATAAGTAATTTTCAAATAATGGGTTTGATTGCCTTTTATATACTTATTTTCTGATATTTAAATGCATTTTTATTTGTGTCACTCTTACAACCATTCTAGAGAAAAAACCACTTACTTGACCACATTGCAGTAAATTTTCCTCGCAGCGAAGTAATTTAAACACACACATTTCTGAGGTTCATTAGAGTAAGTTAAGCGATTTCAAATTATGATCATAACTACTTTTTGTTTGAGAACTACGTAATTTGCTTTGATAAACCCCAGAAATATGCATGTTTAAATCACTTCGATGCGCAAAATATTTACTGTTATGCTGGCAAGTAAACGGCTTCCTCTCTAGAGGCAGTACAAGAGCAGTACAAATTGAAATGCATTTAACTATCAAGAAATAAGTACGCTAAGGTTAGTCCCGTTGTTTGAAATTACTTAGCTTCCTCTTATGAACCCCGAAAACATGTCTTTTTAAACCACCTCACTGCAGGAAGGATTCATTGCGATGGTGACAAGTAGACGGTCTCTCCCCTAAAAATATCAGAAAAGTAGATAATAAATAGATAGCTCTTAATATTAGATCATAAATATTAAGAAACGGACCAAAAATGACCTCCGAGGATTGTTTGACTCGCTTTCAAGAACAGTAGCAAAATGAATGCATCAATTGTCTTGATGCAAGAAGGATGCATCGCAAAGCTGGTGACTGAATGAACGCTTTTCTAAACGACAAAAAGTAAAGGATAACAACCCTTGGAATGTCAGAAAACGAGTGGTTTAAAACTCATTAGAAATACTCCCTAGGAAGTGTTTTCCTCTCGTGCAATGCCAAAATATGCTCATTTAAGGTGATAGGCCACGTATACGAAAGGCACGAGGTAAAGGAAGCAAAAGGTAAAGTCATGAAGACACAATTTCTTTCCACTGCAAAGCTGAAGCTTACAATCAAACGGTGGAGAGACAGAGTCACCTTGAGGAACAGGAAATGTCTACTCAAAAGATGTTCAAACCGAGCTCAGCTAAGGTAGCATTGGCACTGGTAGTCTCCATGTGAGCGTAAGCCGCCAATCTCACGGATTATCGATGCTAAAGTGTCTTCCCAGACACAGACCTCTGAGACAACTACATTCAGTATGAGATCTACGCCTTTCCATTCATTAATGTTTATCTGACTTAGTAGTGGTGGTAAGTGTCGTTGACAAACGTACAAAGTAGCTTCTCGCGGAAATATCGTGCGGTGTGAACCACTAATTCCAAGCCAGAGAAGAGAATTTGCAATACAGGGGACGCTTGCACTTAACATTTACCACATTTTACACGCTCCTAACACCTTTGGGCAGGTCAGGGCGTCTCCTCGTTGCTCTAAATAAAAGCTCTACTTAAACAATGCTAGTAGCAATAATAAAATGAAGCTATACATACGGCGCCGAAACATCAGTCCAGCAACCAGACAGGAAGCAGGAAGCGGGTTTAGCATCTCCGGGGGAGTCAGGTAGTCTAATGCCGTCGCAAAAGTGGCTCGTAATAGGCGCCAATCAAGAAATGAGGTGACGTGAAGCAGGATGCCTTGACAGAGCACAATCGAAATGACGTCCCTTCCTCGTGGCGCCAAACATCTCTAAGGTATCGCTTAACGAAACAGAAGATAGGCAGAAATACAGACGATAACTCGTAGAGAGAAAGCAAAGTAATATAAACAAAGCATGCCCTACCAAGTGCTTGTTCTTTCCTGCCCAACACAACTGTAGTTTCTTACCTGCCCGCCTCATTTCCACCTAATTTCCTGGTTCCCATCAGTCAGGAACCTAATTCTCCACCTACTTATCCTAGTCATTCTTACTTTTTAGAATATTCCATTCCAGGTCCTAGTTCTCTTCCTATCTGCTTCAGTACCTCCTACTACTTTGCACTTCCCGTTACGCCAGAACCTAGTTTTCCATCCGCGAAAACCCCTCTACAAATACCCAACTGCTATCAGTCCAGAAGCCAATTCTCCACATATCCATCCCACTTCCTCCCGATTTGCCAGCTACCATTACTCCGGAGCATAGTTCTTCAACTATCTACAAAAGCTCCTCTCCAAGTGTCCACTTCCTACCATTATAGAACTTGATTTTCCTTCTAACACAGTTTCTTGAAAATATCTACTTCGCGCCAAACATGAACCTCATTATATGCATACCTACCTGAGTTCGTTCTAGTCATCTGGCTCCCATCACCATGGAAACCTACTCTCTATTTGTCTACCTCAATCCCTCCACAGCAATCCAGATCCCATAGCTTCAGAAACAAATTCTTCACATGCGCACCTCAACTGCGTCAAGATTTTCAGTTTTGACCACTCCAGGACCTAATGCTGTTCCCTCACCCCCTCCCCCTCCCCCCCCCCCAAATATCGAATTCGTATCGCTCCAGAATCTTTCTCCCATCTGCCTCAATTTTTCTAGTTCCCTAATTCCCATCGACCCAGAACCCATGTCTCTACCTATCTAGCTCTGTTCCTCTCCAAATATCTAGTTACTGTCATCCCACACCCTAGTTCTCTACCTATATATTCCATCGCCTTCCAGTTTTCCTATTCCTATCATTTTAGAACCTAACTTACCACTTATGTACCTCAATTTCAAACCAGATTTCTATCTACCATCACCCCAGAACCTAAATCTCTACAAAACGTCCTCAATTCCTCGCCAAATATTTAGTTCATATCACTTCACAATCTGAGCCTCTACCTACCTGCCTCGGCTCCTCTACAGCCACTTGGCTTCCATCACTTAAGTGCCTAGATCTCTATCTCACTAACTCACTTCCTTCTCAAACCCTACCTGTACCTAAGCTAGTGTTGTCGGGCCTCCTCACTCCCCTATCTAACATTTGACTACCCACATGCATCGGATAGGCGAAAGATGGGGTTAGAGGATAAACAGGAGTGGAATAAATGCCTAGAGAGGCAAATAGATACAACGGTGTAAAAAACTATTTAAAAAAGTAACTAAGCAACACGTGAGTGAACAAATAAATGGGTGAATAACTTAACATACAAATAGGCCAGTAGAAAAGTGACAAACTTACCACTTGTTCAATTCAGAAGCTTTGCAGGGGGCGTTGTCCAAGTAATGCATTCTTGCTGGCCGTGATTTTTGCGAATGACTGGCTGTGAGACAAGAAAGGCTTGCGTCTCGCCTCCAGATGGGTTCCAGAAGACTCTTCTCACTTTCCGCGACTAACTTACGATAGTCCAACACCGTCTGACATAAGGAATGACTAGTTTAATCCAAATGCATCATATCTATCGATGTAGCTGTCACAGGGGTCCATAACAAAACCAATTAAAATGAGGACTAAGGAGCTGGAGTGTGGGTTAGGGAAGGGAGGAATAAACTGAACATTTGTGCCCAAACCTGAGGACGGTGTATGTCGGCGGTGCTATCTCTCATTTAAAGGATGGGTTCAAGAAGGCAGCCTATTACCAAAACAGACCTATACACATTATTCGAATGACATCTCTACAACCACCATACTTCCGCCTTCAGAATAGTAGACCAGTTTTTACATGCAGTAGGAATATGGAGTGCTCATCGACCCCTTCGTTGATTCTAAAACTATATTTCAAGAACAGGTCATTGAAGACTCTTTAATGGGTAGTAATAGCACCACCTCTGGTAAAGTCTCAAAAAAATTTCTCACTATTGGTACCCAAATTGAAGCATTCAAGCATAAAATGCTAGACAAATTTTATGAGATGATGCTAAATAACCTCCTGTAACAAATCAAAGCCGGTCCTTTAATGAAGCAGCAGGAAACGTGTTGAAGAAGACCGGAGCGAAACAATGTTCAAATAAACAGGTGTAAAGTCGAAGCCTCAAATTTTGCAGCGTAGGGCTCAACATTTCCCACTAAGTGAACCTAAGACCATCTGTTTGTGCACCTTCGACGAGACAAGCGAAGAAATGAGATCAAACAAAAGAATGATTCAACGAAAAGGACCTGAGTTCCAGTGAGTGTCTACCAAAGACATCGGGAGATGGTACCTAATAATTGCAACTGTAAAAGTACTGCCCAATGCCTTCGCAACCAAGGCAGGAGATTCCATCACGATACCCCAGTCATTGCTCAAAAAACTGAAAATACAATTACCCTTAAGCAATCCTACTGTTTTAAATCCAAACATTCTTTGTACAATCCATGACTTGTTTTGACCCCAGGTATCATAAATGACTAAGAAACACATGGCACAAATGAGTGGCGTGATAATAAAATAGCTATGGTAAGGAGCGTAGAAGCCGTTTCTTGGAGGGACAACTTTAATCAGAACAAGAATCAAAATTGTGAAAATAAAACCCACTCAGTTGAAACAGCAACCTCATGTCCAGTTGAACCACCTCGAGAGCAAATTTGGAAACCGGACAAACATTGTAGTCTCCTTAGCAATGGCTGAGAAGGTGGGTTCTGCCACAGGAATGGCCGAATTGTAAGGCTGGATGCTGTTGATAGACGACCCGACTTTAGTGGAAAGCCTGAGACCTTCCATATACGACACATCGGCAATTGTGGAGTTCTGGTCCAGAAGAGCATGCAGTATCCATTAAATGGTTACCAGAAAAACGATGCAGACACCACTTCTAGCTGACGGTGAATTAGTCCCGGAGTAATTCAAAGCCATCTGGTAGACTAGTTGAAAGATTTCTAGCTTTTCCGGGTTTATTTACTTTTTTGAATCTGAATATGTTGCCAAACACCACATTCTGGGAGAAAACGAATAAATTTGGCCCTAGATTCATAAAAGTATCAAAAAGCATCAACAACTACAAATCATAACTCACCTTCACCTCTAAAGGCTTTTAAATTCGTACTGTAAAACTACTGAACTCCCAATTCTTCTGACACATGCATCCATAAAAGCTGCACCAACTCGTCGAAACGTGTGCAAAGACAAGCAATCAATTTTTTGCCATCCAGAGCAGCAAAAGAGAAATCAAGCGTCTTTCAAAACTTGATTTCCCTCATTTGGTATTGATATTATCATGCCTGTCTTGAGGAAATCCAATACTAAGGGAGGAGCTAAGACAGACAATATGTTAACTATGCGAGCACGCAGCGGCCTTAAAAAGCGTTATCGGTAAGCGTTTAAAGATGGTGGCAAAAGGAGGGGTAATTATGATGTACTTTAGACGGCAGTGGTGACAAAAAAATCATTCAAGTCAAGCCACAAGTATTTTTGCTTATTTTTTGCTGTTAAAACGTATTTTTGTAAAATAATTTCATTTGTTTGCATGTGTACTGCATTAAACACCTTTAACTCCAAAAATCACATAATAGCCTGTAGCATATACGAAATCACTTAATGTTTCTCTAAAATTACCAGATTAGCCCGTCAACCGCTGCCAAATTTTTTTTGTTCCTGTGTAGTAGTGAGACTGACTAATGCTCCAATTTGCATGCAGATAGTAGTAAAACTGCAAACCTAGGGGATAAGCAGCTTCCAAGCAAGGTTGGCCAACAATTACAAGGAAAGACAATTCCTAGGCCTAAATATGTAAAGACCTCAGCAATAATGGCTCTTAGATAATATTTGCAAATCATGAGTGCATCAAAGACGTCCAATTTCATCCCATCAATTTGAAGAACAAGCCTTTGCACATTCTTTAAAGTTGGGAGAAAGCTGTGTAAATTCGGGTTAAGAAAGTAGGCATTAGTTTGCTTTTGGCAGCAATAACGCCCTTAACGTATCTAATGTACATCTCTGCAGCCATTTTCTAGTGGCGATTAACTTCATTTGTGATGCGATGAGAAAAACGCAACAATAGCAAGAAATTTGAAGTGGCTACTGCCACGTGACTGATTATTAACACACGAGTAATACGTTGGTTAACTTTTTGTTCCGATGAGGAGCCACTCTTGACTTGGTCACTGGACCACGCTGAGTGGGTAGTCCTTCGGGTCGTGTCAGTAGCCCAAATACCTTCCCT